TCAGATCGGTTCATGCGCACTATCCGATAGCAGGTGTCCGTATGCTTTGGCAGCGATTGGAAGAGTGCTACGGGAGCCCAGAAGTAATTGAGAATGTGCTGTTGAGAAAACATTTCTAACAGAGATGGGCAAAGACTCAGGGAGCTAGGAGATATGCTTATGGAATTGGAATCTGCAAAGACATGTGGACATTTATCAGGTTTAGCCATTCATTCATTCCCTTGAACGGGGTCCATAAATCAAACACGCTTGCATGTAATAATATGAAACTCGGTACACATATAGATCTCATCGGGACGAACAACTTTCGTACTCTTACTTTTTACCCCAGCCCAACAGGAAGTCGTCTATTAAGGGTTGTTTGGAAAATGCATGCAATGGAATTTAAAGTACTTCTCCTAGAGAATTGAACCAAATGCAACGTAACTCGGTCAGCGTGAAGACAAGATGAAAAGTGAGACAGGAAATGTGCTATAACTTCTGCATACATTAACTGATCTTGATGAAACTTCAGCAGTGTGTTCGTTGTAAGAGGCCGATCACATGGATGTGACTATTGTAAGTCAAAGTTATAGCGCCACCAACTGGCAGCAGGAAGTGTGTCACCTTCAAAATGCTTTGCAATCACCCTCTTATTTTTACCCGATTTGCTTCAAACTTCATCTGTATAATGTAAACACACGCCAGATGAAGACCTGTGAAAGGATTATTGATATCTTAGATACTGTTGCCATGGCAACGCATCAAACTTTAATATTCTTTTTTGATACTTTTGAGACTCTTAGTATGCTTGAAATTGCATGAAACTCGACAGACACATCTCATTTATTAGCTAGTAGACATGTGCAAAGTTTCAGGAACGGGCGTGGTGAAGGGCTCAGTAGCGCCACCTTTAGTCAAAAATGGGGTATTAGTTTTACCTACAGTAACAAAAATCGGTATGTATATTGTTCTCCTCGAGGTCTTCCTGTTGGTCGGAGCAAATGACTGTAAATAAGAAAATTGTCCGGCTCGAGGAGAACAATATACATACCGATTTTTTTTACTGTAGGTACAACTAATACCCCATTTTTGACTAAAGGTGGCGCTACTGAGCCCCTCACCATGCCCGTTTCTGAAACTTGGCACATGTCTACTAGCTAATAAATGTAATGTGTCTGTCGAGTTTCATGCATTTTGAAGAATGTTAAGAGCCTCAAAAGCATCCAAAAAGAATATTAAAGTTTGATGCGTTGCCATGGCAACAGTATTTAAGATATCAATAATCCTTTCACAGGTCTACATCTGGCGTGTGTTTACATTATACACATAAAGTTTGAAGCAAATCGGGTAAAAATAAGAGGGTGATTTAAAAGCATTTTGAAAGTGACACACTTCCTGCTGCCAGTTGGTGGCCCTATAACTTTGACTCATAGTCACATCCATGTGATCGGCCTCTTACAACGAACAAACTGCTGAAGTTTCATCAAGATCAATTAATGCATGAAGAAGTTATAACACACTTCCTGTTTCCATTAATCGCCATAAATTCGTTTCCTTGCCACGGCCAAACCGTTCGAGATATCAAAAATCCCCTGGCAATTTTTCATATCTCGCCACGGCCAAACCGTTTGAGATATCAAAAATCCCCTGGCAATTTTTCATCCTCAATGTCTTGACTGAAGTCAAGACATTGAGGATTTTGCTGATGTTTACCGAGTTTGCTGATGATCGGGTGAATTCCCTAGGAGAAGTGTTTCAAATTCCTTAGCATGCGTTTCCAAACAACCCTAAATAGCCGACTTTCTGTTGGGTCACATCTCTTTTACCTGGCATTCACATAGAACATTATACATTTCTATTATTCAAATCGGTTAAATGATTATTAGGCTGCATAGATTAGATCAGCCAGAACCGGGGACACTTCTTATAACACCTCATGTACTCATCATAAGAAGAATGGCATCTACGCTAATGTTAGTCTTTCTGCTTATTCCGGGGTTTACTGTAATCAGCCGGATACGGCCCGTATCCAGATCAGATGGTGGACCTGTGCCTAGACACGACCACAACGCATCCCTGAAGTGTCAGCAGAGATTGTGTCATCTATACTATGCCCTGTCGGCATAGTACACGATCATCGACACGATAGCCATCTGCACTGATCCTCAACAAACTCGTCTCCATACCCATGTTACTCTGATCTTTAACAAGATGGAACTGCCTGGATACTATTCTGATTGTTCCAATTCAATCTAACTTTTGACCTATAATGCTGCCTGAATCATAATCATACACTGTTTGTTCGTTGGCCAGAGGAGACCTGAAAACGTCTCCAGAGTGGCTATATATATAAATTAACTAAATTAATAACTTTTTTTACAACAAAAATAACATCACTGAACTTACTTAAGCTGGACTGTGACGCTTTTCTTCTGGAAACAAACTTTGTTGCATTATTTTCCTGTTATCTCTGTAAAGCTGCTTTGAAACAATCTGTATTGTAAAAAGCGCAATATATATAAATGTGACTTGAATTGACTTGACTTGAGAGTCCTCTTATCTTGAGTTTGTTGGTGATTGTCCAGATATAACTCATATATGACTGATATAACTATCCTTATGTGCACAAAGTTTCTCTGGGGGAAAAAAGAAAAAAAACATTTTCCTTTTATTTAACATTTGTTTTTATTTATGAGATATTTAAATAAATTATTATAATTATAATGAAAATCATTATTTTATGAGTTATACAAAGCATATTTGTTGAATGAAAACTATGAAGGGAACAGAATTACAGAATTAATTAAATCTGGCTTCTCATGTAATTCCAGTTTAAACCCTGCCACAAATACAAATGATTTTGGGATTGTTATAGATACAGATAAAGATACAAATATTGGCTCTACTGTACAGCCCTAGTTGATAAATTGCTGGTGAACTAGACATACCATAGGGCAACCAATTTATTTTATACAATCCTTTGGGAGAGGCAATTATTAAGTCTAGTTAAGTCTAGTTTGGGAAAAAAATATTTTCTGCTGGTGAATGACACTAGCAGGTCGTAGGGTTTTGTCAAGGGATATTTGTCAATGGCTAACCACGGGTTGATTGTGACTATGTAATTGCCAAAAATGGCTAGCTAGCATGACCAGAACCAACACTTCTCTCATGGCATATCAGGCACTGCTCAGCTCTTGCAAAAGTTTGGATTTTTTTATTTTTTTATTCCCTATTCCATAAATTATTCCATTAATATAGTCCACTTGAAGGAGTGAATGAAAACAACTGAGCAAATTCGGACACTGAGTGCACCGGAAGAGCTGCCGTATTTGCATAGTTTGTGCTGATTAATAATCATTTATAACTTAGCAAACAAGCAGCTCCAGTAGTAATGAAAAGATTTGTCTTGAACTCTGTCATGGAAACTAGCATGTATAAACCTTAATTAAATAATTGAATAATCAATTAAAAAGGTATTTATACCTGTATGATATAATGCTGTACATAATTCCACCACCACTAACTGGCTGTCCCCTCAAAAAAAAAATTGTATTATCATGTTTACTTCAAATTTCTTTAGAGAGAAGTATTATTTTGTCTATTTTCACCCAAAATAGGATGGAGTGAGCATTACTGAGAGCTAAACACGTCTTTTTTATTCATACTGGAAGCCGGAGGGTGTCCTCGCACAGAAAGTCCAAATATGTCCCAAAGATGCAATATAACTGGTTATAACTTGTAATGTTCCAGGAAATCCCAGGAAATATGGACAAATGCATCAAGCTGAATAAAAAGAAGATAGAACAGGAAGACAGTAAACACACGACTGAGTTCGACTGGTTTACCTGAGTTCTTCACACCTTCTCTGGTATTTTAATAATAATAATTTGATATTATTTAACATTTAATAGTATTTAATATTTAATATTCAATAATAATAAAGTATATTTATAATGCAATACTAATCAACATAGCCTTTCTCACTGTATAGAATGCTATAAAATAATATATTGTCTGCCTTATTCTATGATAAGAAGACACATCAGATCTCAAAAGGAAGTTATTTATAAACACTTGACTGACGTTATGAAGTAAGATGGGAGTAAAATTATGTTATTAAATGTTGTCTTTTGTTGGATAACAGGTTTATAAATGCTTCACATTACAAGTTTGGGAAGATGTTTGACACATGTTGCTTTGTCAAATGCATGTTATAAGTGACTTAAACTAGCAGTGCTTTCTGAGATGGAGCTGCATTTACTAATGATTACTCTTCACTAACACGCTGTGCATATATTTATTTTAAATTATTTAAAATGTATGTATTAAAAATAAAAACAATTCGTAGCCTTTGCATTTTCAGTTTTATTTTGATTAATCGTGCAGCCCTATTTATGCTAATACTAAACAGAGCGGCATACCAAAGTCAAACAATACCCAATTAAGTCAAACAATACAACATTTTCCTTTGTCTGCCATTTTGGTTATCGACATTTAGAGTTTTTGTTGTAAAATGCTATAAAGTCGGTATGCGTAATTGTCACAATGCCCATGCAGTAAGATACTCAAAAAGTACTCAAAAAGCCCCCTAGACTGGTTTTAACAAAATTTAAACCCAGATCATCTTCAGACCATGCTAGAAAAAGGTTATGGATTTTGTGTTGATTGACTAAACTCTATCAACGAAGTCGATGGCATGATGCCAAGCTGGATTTGGTGCAGTATCTGGTTGTCAAAAATGAAATGCAATTACTTGATTGTGATTGTTTTCAACCATTTTGACTAAAATCCTCAACTAATGTCTTTAAATTACTAATTTTTACAGTTGGTCTGATGGCTCATTGCCATGCTTTCTTAGCTCCTCATTTAGCCTCTGTTGTGCTTGGATCCTTAATTGCCCCTTTGCTGCTACATTTGTGATCAATACAATTACAATTACATTACAATTACCACAAGCAAAACCCCTACTACTTCAGGTCTGGTTGTATAAATGGATTCTTCAATGTGTAGATTCTTACCTCATGGCCACATTGCTGCCATCAATAACAATGGGGCGGAGGTTATCCTTATCATCCACGGGTATCTGAGAAGGGGACTCTGACCAGCGAGAGTCAAGTGAGTCAGAGAAACTGCAGGAAGAAGATGAGCCAGAGGATGATGATGACGTGGAAGTGGACTGGGAGGGAGACTGTGTCCCACCCTCATTCTCCGGCTTACTGCCTAGTTTCACCAGCTCCCCAAGAATATCATTGATCAGTGCATCTGACCCCAGCTTGTTCAGAACCAGCCGAACCAAGTCTTCTGCATAGCCGAGCTTAAGGGCAAACTCCATCTTTGTCTGATATTCCCTGAATGTATTCACAGGACCTCGCTCTTGGGATACCATATTTGAGACTGGTGAATCCAAATCTAGACATGAAGACCAACAGAGTAATGGGTGGACTGCATGGCTAAGCGTATCAATAGGAGGATGACTAAGGCTCTGCACAGGCTCAGTTTTTGGCCCTGAACTTTTCTCCGAGTCAACTTGTGGTGAAGAACCACAGCTCCTGATGCAGGGGGCCACCATGTCTCCTGTGTCTGATGATCCACTAATAATAATAGCTCCAGTGTCAGCTCCAGTCTGCTGGTCTGTGGCGTTCACATGGAGGTAGTCTAGATCCAGCCCCAGTTCGAGGATGTGGCCTGTTCCATCATCCAGATGGTCTTTCAGGCCCATGAATCAGCCACAGACATCCAGCACGTTCTGACTGTGAGTCTTGCTGAGCCCTGCCAACTGATCAGCCTCTATACGCTATTCAGCCCTCAGGTCGTGTTTCTCGTGTGAACCTAGAGAAGGAGAGAGGGATACTTTAAGGGACTGCATAGTAATTCAGGGAACAGAGAAATGTGTAAGGTGCTGAACTTCTAAAGCATGCTTTAACAGTGGCGGCTAGAGAAAAATATCTTAGGTGGGGCTGTGCCATATTCAGTTTCAATAGTCTGATGGTAACCATGGGAGCCAGGTCTTTTAGCGTGTCTGTAAATTATACCTTGTTATGGATATGTTATTTGTTTGAATACCTCTTTGTTTGTATCGTTGACCAATCTTTGTAAAGCGACCTTGGGTGTTGGAAAGGTGCTATATAAATAAAAATATATTATTATTATTATTATTATTATTATTATTAATAACCACCCAAACGCAATTTAACACAAACTGCAGGATAACAGTTTTCTGTGAAAAAGTCAGTAATTATTTAATGCCAATATTAAAAGCTTTCCATTTACATTTGAAATTAAACTCAAACTGTTTTGTTACTTTCTCAGACAGTTGCTTCATATCCCTCACTCTATCTAGAGGCTGTCAATGCTGGATCTGTCCCCGTTGTTTTAACAAGTAATCACAGAAAGCAAAATAAGGCATAAGCATGACCGCATTCAGCTAGCCAGGCCTTTCTAGTTTACCAGCTACAAGAGAAGCCTCGCACGTAGCCATTATCGTATTGCATAACTGTGTGGGGTCAGGCCAACCAAACAACAATTACACCCATTATGTCATTATATAAACAGGCACTAAAAGTAATGGACCAGAAATCTGTAAGATGGCATCCCTGCATCATTCTAAGGAAGCATAATATATTGAGTTTTGACAGTTTTGTCAGTTTTTCATTTTTAAAACTAACTTTTAAGTGTGTGAACAACCTTGCACCAGAAATATTCTGTCAACTAGTAGAGAAACAAAAAAGCGGAATAAGAACTAGAGGCACAATAAGTGGAAACTGTATAGCTGCAGAACGTAGAACAACATTTGGTCAGACATCATTTTCAGTAAGACGCATACGTACTGCGCTAAAATAATCCCCCATTTCGGACTAGCGCCTAGCGCACTCTATTGGCCAGCCGCCCTTGTGCTTGAAGCACATGGGGTTAAGAGCTCTACTAAAGGTCATGAAATCAGCAGTGAAAGGAATGAGAGAGACAAAAAGTTCTGTTGTCGTCACTCTTCACCCTTTTACACGTTTGTCTCGTGAATTAAACTTCAAAGTGCCATGTTTTTTGTCTATACTCACATTTTAATGTTCATTCATGTTGTCGGTCTGTGGTATTGTGGGTTGTTGCGCTTGGCACTCTACCTTCCCCATGCCCCACTTCCCTCTTACTTACCCTCTAGATAGCCTTCCACCAAAAATATCTTCTTTTATGTTCCACAGGAAAAAGAATGTCATACAAGTTCTAATCCTAGAACTAAAGAATTTTCCATTGGTATAAATTATTTTATGTAAATCATCTTTTCTGCATTTACCTCGCTCTAGCTTTTGTACTAATTGTGGACTTGTTAGCATAAATCACTTTGGATTAAACCATCTACTAAACTAGTAAATGTACATTTCTTAAACAACAGATTGTACATCTACACTGATGAGCCAACTCATTATGACCAGTCCAAGTGAATATCATTGGTCACAATACAAAGGAAAATTGTATTGCTCAGTGGTTACTTTTCCTAAGCTGCAGGAGACTTAGTTGTGAATCTCATATATCTCCCATTTTGGTGTAAACAGTGTCTCAGATGTTTCTCCTAAAACCCCTTAGGAGAAATAAAAGTAGACACAAATGAGACCTGAGAAATATCTGAAAGAAATAGAGTAAAAAGAATATGGTGGAAGAAACAGAACATCTCTTTATTGTCTTGCTGTAATCTCTTTCAAGGCTCCATTATGGGAATATTTTATGGCTCAAATATTATCAAATATTTCTTATTTTAGTATTAACAGTGTTTCAGATGTTTCTCCTAAAATTCCTTAGGAGAAATAAAACTAGAGACAAGTGAGACGAGAAATATCTGAGTGTTACATCTGTCAGCTGTGGATATCTGAGTGTTACATCTGTCAGCTTACCCTTAAGTACCAGCAGATGGCAGCCTCATCCCTCACTCTCTCTATGAACCCTGTTATTCCCTGACTTAATTTCCCAGAACTCTCTGCTCATTATTAGTTTATCGGTTGCAGCTGTGTCTTGTTTAATTTGATCATTATCCCTGTCTGTTTAAATGCCTTTTGCCCTGTATTCAGGATGAAGTCTTTGCGTTCTCTGCATACTTTGTCAGCATTTCGAGCAGGTCCTGTCTGCCTTATGTTTATCGGTATAAAGCAAGCTAAATATCAAACAATGCATAGTCTAGGGATGGGCAAATGAAGCCTCATGAAGCACTGAGGCTTTCCACTGATTTTTCCGGGAAAAGATTCGAAGGATCAAGAGTGTCGAAAACAGCGCCATCTTGTGGCAGATAAAATTTATAGCATGCCATAAACCCAAGTGCGCAGAGCCGTTGTTTTATCTACCCTCAGGTGCTCTTTGGTCATTTCTGACCGAAAAATTTTCTGTTTCGAAACGTTAAAAATCACAGCTTCATCGGAATGTTACGAAACTTGGTGCCTTTTATGGCATTAGGTATGTGAACACAAAAAATAATTTGAGGTCATGATCCGAGCAGGCTAAGTGGTCGTAAAAAAAAATAGTCACACTTGTGCTCTTCGGTCAAAAATGACCGAACCATAAGAAAAGAATGGGAAATTGACAAAAACACAAAAAGTCTGAGAATTTTTGTGTGTACAATCTACAAATCGGCCACGATGCAGAAAAAAAGTGTTCAACAATGAAGGGGTGACACTCTAAAACACCAAGAGTGCAAAACAGACACACACACACACAAACACACTTTTTATACACTTACACACCAATGAATTTTGACCGACCATAGGAAATGAATGGGAAATTGACAAACACAAATTCTCTACAAATCGGCCACAATGCAGAAAAAAAACATCAATAGTGAAAAACATAACATAATTAATGAATATAATTCATATATATATATATAATATAATTATTATTAAAATTATTAAAATAATAATTAATATAATGTTTACAAATAATAATAAATTAATATGTTTAAAAATAATAATAATAATAATAATATAAATAATAATAATAAGCTGTGAAAAAGCATTACTGTTTATTTTTTTAATTGAATTGTAATGTTACCTGTAACAAAATGCTTTCTCTGTATTCAGGTTTGACTGTAGTAATAATGCAAAAACGTGTACACTTCACATCAATTATTTATTTAATTTTTTTTATAAACCATGGCAAAAAGTATTATTTGAGAATTTAAAAAAAAATACATTCAAATCCACATCTTAAAAGTAAGTAATTTTGTCCAAAAACAACTAGAGAATTCACTAGCCTCTCCATAGAGAGCTATACAGGCATCTAGTGGTTACACCATGAAATGACATGTTTTATTTTATTTTCTCTCAACAGATGGCGCTAATCTGACTTCAAAAATTGGATTTAAAAGGTCTGGTCTCTGTATTAATCTGAAATACTGCAATAATTGTAAAAATATTTTTAAAAATTAGGGGGAATTTTTTTTTATTATTTTGAATGGCAAAAATGGTCCATAAATATTGCATAAATATTAATAAGTAACATCAAATTCTCTCAAAATACAAAAATAAATTGCATTGGTTTTACTGGGATGGAGAAAGTTTCATTTTTAGGTGTCCGGTCACTTCTGACTGGGAAGATAACAAGTGTGACTCCGAAACGAAGAGCACCTGAGGGTTAAGCACAAATAAAAGCCTGACAATGCTAAATGTTCAGTTTTTTTGATAATATAATTCACATATTAAAGTGTGGCAATACATTAAATGTAACAATTATATTAATACTAATTATAAAAATGCCAACAGAGTTGCTTGATGCAAGTAAATGGTGGTCTAATTATTTTATGGTTTCTATGGCTGCTTTTACACTGCAGGTCTTGATGCCCAAATCCGATTTTCTGACTATATCCGATTTTTTTGACGACCCGCTTACATCATCTTTTAAAAGGGACCCGTATCCGATTTTTGCATTTACAATATACACTGCTGAAACTACCAAATGTAGACGTTCTGACCTGGAAAAGGAAGTAAAACAGCACGAAATACAATGGATGCAGATGCAAATAAAATTATCCAGTGTTTTGCTTTCCACAATATTTTTAAAAGTCATTAAGCTTTTTATCTTACGGTGGCACTGTAGCCACGAGCGCTTAAAACCGTGCCTCCCCATATCTCGTGAAATGTCTTCAAACACGGATTTATTTCTGTAACAACCCTGCATTTTTGCCTGCACTGTCTCTTCGCCCCAAACACTCAAAAGACATGAAACCTCCGCATTGCTCCACTGTGTGTATCCTTCGTCCTCCATCGCGCCTATAATAAGTCATGTGATCTCAGTTGGTGGTGTCCACCTGAGTTGACGTCACTTTTTTAATGACGTACGACTCGCATTTACTGGGGAATATCCGATTTGTCTGCTTACATGGCACACGCAAATGCACGTATCCGATTCATATCCGATTTATTACCACATATGAGTGAGGCCTGAATCCGATCTGAGAAAATCAGAATCCATGCATTTTTTTCCTGCTTACACGTTCATGGGTCATATCCGATCTGTGCCACATGAGAGGAAAAAATCGGATTTGGGTCACTTGAACCATGCAGTGTAAATGGGGCCTATGCTGTTTATATGGCAGAATATATGATCATGTAACATAGGCTATAGGCTTATACATATACATATATATATATATATATATATGTGTGTGTGTGTGTGTGGTTAAATTGGGCCGGGGCTCAGCCCCTTTTCTGATTTCTGATATTTCTCACAATAAATGAAAGATTTTTGAAATGGCATGTCTATTTTGTCTAGGCGGAGTAGCCTGGTTAAAACCAGACCATTCTCAGTTGTAACTGGCAAATGGCATATGGTCTGGCAAAGCGTCATAGACAAATCATT